AAATAACCCGTCGAAGAATATTAGATAATATCAAAGATAACCACTACTTGGAAATACCGTGTTGGCTTAGTGTGAGAGAGAGAGAGAGAGAGAGAGGGTGGGGGAGGTTAATTCTGGCATACAGAATATAACGGGATCAATTATGTTTACCAGCCGAATATAGATTTTAGCCGTCGAAAAACCGATAATGTCGTTAGCGCAGGCTGTATTCGGCTTTCGTTCAACACCAGAACGTGATTCCAGCTGAGTCCGTTTTGATGCCGCAAGTTAGTGATCGGTATTATCCGGGCGTGCGTGTGCTGACGCGCGTATGTACGCAACGCGCGCGTATATTTACGACGCGGTGCGTACATCGGAGCGAAGGAATGATAAAACATACATCAATGAAACTCACCAAAATGTGTCAAAACGCGGCGCGCTCTGATACACCGGTTTACCGATTATCATCGGTAAAATTTTCAACCTCGCGACCCCCGGGAGAGGGGAAGGCGGTAATATTTATAATATTTGCGTGACACGGCAAATTTTTCATCTCCGTGTGTATGACGCACGGGTCCATCGGGAAATTCTCCCTGCCCTGATGCGGATTATATTATCGGGAGTGCGGATTCGATTTATCGCGATAACGCGACTCTCGCGCACGACCTGGCGCAAAGTTTCGCGGTTAAATCGAGCGTGGTGCGGCGGGACGGGTCGGAGTTGTGGGATCGAAAAAAGGGAAAGACGGAGATAAAGGAAGAAGGACGGTGACGGTGTCGATATAGCGTCGCGCGTCTTCTTTATATCGATAAATACGATACCGGCGGACACGCGTGAGAATCCCGGGCGTTTGTTCCGACGCGCGACGATCCATCGACTATACTCCCACAATTATCGGTGTCACGCATCGCCACATTGCCATTACGGTGGCTGCAATTCGCCGATGGCGTCTATTAATGTCTGTACGAGAGTCCGAAATTATAATCGAGGGGAATTCGTAGATGAGCCGAATTAATTTGGAATTCCTTAATTCGCCGTTCATCCGGCTGGGCCGCGATTAGAGTGAGGAGCGATCAAACAATTGCACGACGAACAGTTCTGTCTGCCCTCGCTCAACATCGGTAATTGATTTCCAAAGCCGCGATGTGTTAGATGAAAAAAAAACGTTAAGCGGGCAATCCATTTGTACGGGGAAAAGAATTAACGCGTTCGATAAGTCGCGTGTCAACCGCATTAATGAAGGCAGTTGGTGCCGGTTAGAGAAGACAGTATTATTTAGAAAATAATATATTTATTTCTAAATAATATATTATTTAGAAAATAATATATTTGATTTTCAATGAAAAAATGTGTTTCATTACATATTAAATATTGTTCCACTGAAGTAAAGAAATTCTTTAATATTTTTCGAGCTATATTTTTTATGTTATTTTTTTCTTATAATTTATTATTTATGATAACCATTGTGATGTTTGGGTGAAAATATAAAAGAAATACGTTATTTAACATAAAGATATTCATTGTTTGAGAAACCAAACGATGTTGGTTAAAGCAAACACTCGTTTGTTTGCTCCATTCCAAGAAAAAAATTTGTTTCAATTAAAAAAATTGTACTAAATTCCAGGAAATATTTGTCTATAATATTTTTATGTAAATAGTTCGAATCTAATATGTTATATTTTTTTATACAGAAGAAACATACTTTTCTTTGTAACTTAATTAAACAGAAATAAGTTCCCTTCAATGTCGCCTTTTTAGCTTTCAGATAAGAAATATATATATTTTTTCAATTTAATGGAGTTCTTCAGTTCGAGAAACGGTCCTGAGTTTTCTCCGCGCTGTTGTTCCGATTGCACATAAGAAAATATGGTCACCCCGCCGGAAGCTATAAGCAAGCCAGTTTCCTCGTCTTCGCAATGCGCGGACGTAACGAAGCGCAGGAATTATTTCTTATCCCTGTCGTTCCAGAAATTGCTCGACGTGGTCACACAGGCGTCGAGAGAGAGAGAGAGAGAGAGAGAGAGAGAGAGAGACATTTCCGTCGGTTTTCCGGGGAAACCCCGGGAAAGAATCCAGTCGAGAAATAGCACTTTATTGTAATTTTCACGAAACTCCCGCTGTTATGGAGATAAAAAAGAGAAAGAGAGAGAGAGAGAGAGAGGAGAAGAGAGGTTCTCTCGCGATATACGCCGTGCGTTCGCGGGATAATTGAAGTAATCGTTAACGAGGGCGAAGACACACCGGGAAAAATTCCAGCGACGCCCATGGTCGTCGCGCTTATTCCCCGCGTTTATCCTTTGTCCTTATCCCTTGTACTTATCCTCCGCCGCGTCCACGTAAAAGGCGGCAATCAAAAGTACATTTTCACTTAACCCGTTGCTCTGCAAAACGCCGCACCGGCGTTTGAAGCGGCGTAGCGCTTATATCGACGCGCCAACCATTAAAATTTATACAACGTGACTCACGTTAAACGCTCGTCCTCTTCCACGCCGAATATCGAATTAAGAGTAATTCGCCGCCTGGCTTCGCGCTAATTGTGCGTGCTGCTCCGCGGAAAGAAGCGCAAGATGTGTGGATTAATTGATTTAATTTTTACGAGCGCGTGCGCGCAGGAGAAATGTCAGTACTTCTGAAGAGAGGTCGCGATAAATTAGAAAATTTCCCAGACGCTGCGTCGTCTCCTCTTCTCTTGACGATTCTTCCTGTCGTTTCGATCCTTTTCAGAAAACGTCGTTTCCTAAGTAATTAAGATTGTTAATCAGCATCTTTTCATAGCCGCTCGAACGAGAAGCCTCTTGTTTTCGGCCCGACACTGTCTGTCACGGGCGTCTTCGCGACAATGAAATCGCGAGCGCGCGCGCGCTGCGCCATTACTCGAATGAAAATTTCATTCGCCGCCCGAGAGGAAGAACGTGTCAAGAAATTAATACCTTGTTTATAAACGTCGTAAACGTCGTCGTCGTTCGCGGCAACCACCTGTTTACCTGACGTTATCGTCATCATCCTCCTCTCTGTGTTCCGTCGACGCGCGCGTTCACCGCGGATCCTTTTGTTCGCTCTCTCTCTCTCGCTCTCTCACGTTCTCGCATCTTCTCTTTTTGTCTTTCCGCCTGCAGCTCTCTTTGTCGAGTGCTTTGGTGTGTTCCGTGGATTACACACTATTCTCTCGGTGTACTCCCGGCAGTTCGGATCGCAGGAGCATCCTCGGGAAAGAGAGAAGACGCGTATCGCCCGGCGTCTTGCTCGCCTCCGTCAGTGTATCGCGGCTCCTTTGATGTTCTCTCCCTTCGAGTGTGACGTCACTCGGACGCGCATCTCGCAAAGGGGGATCGCGATCTTGCCGGGTCGCGCGCGCCCGGGCTTTGTCGTTTATTCGACGGAAGCGTCCCGAGCGATTCTTCGTGAATTTTTGAAACGTTCAACCGGCGCGTCACCATTATGAAAGCCGCGCGGCTGCAAGCGATGACTCTCGCTTTGCTGGGCGCGCGCGTTGGAGCGCAGCAAGCCCGCCGAAACGATTGCTTTCCGACGTCTGAAATATGCAGGGGTCCCTACAGGGTTCCACGACCGGCCCTGCGTCGAGCTATTACTAACCACCTGATTCTCGATACCGGTCTAATACCGCCAGCAAGTACTGGTCTGGCATTAGATTACAGGTCACATGATAACTCGGGCACGACACCGGGGGCCAAGAATTGGCCCGAAGTGTTCGCAATCGAGAGCACGTCGGTTGATGCCGAGGATGAATTTCTCGCATCGCGCTGCTTCAAGTTGATTGGGTAATATCGCTCGAGATTTCGAAATCATGCGCATATCAGGGGCAAGTTCGCCAAAATCGTACCACTTAAGATATTTTCACGATGTTTATGCACGGAAAAAAAACCTGAAATCAAGATTAGATATTCCTGTATATAAGCAAGAATATTATAATCTTCTCAGATTTTTAGTCTTTAGTCTTTTCTATTGAGTTATAGCAATATTTGCATCAATATAAATCCAATCAAATTAAGACTAAAAAGTTTCCAAGAAGATTATAATATTCTTGTTTATATATGAAAAATGACAGATTACGCGGAAATCTCCGCGTGAGATTCTTCGGACGAAGTACGTTCATATTTTATATATGATAAAATCCGATATATATTATATTCTATTTTCCATATTTTAATATTGTAAGATATGTGATCGGGTTTGATTAGAACGAAATCAGTTTTACATGAAGATTAATTACTATTTATATATTCAATTGTATAGAACCAATGATTATATATAATATTAATTATACCTATAATTAATCTCCGATTAAACATGCGATTTTGACGAGGGAGATAAGCCTCTATCAATCACAGAATCCGAGAGGTCCTCTTTTACTCTTCGTTATATATTCTACTCGTTCTCTCCACTCGTTCTTTAACTTGTCATCATCGTTAACTTTCCATATTCTGATTGCACGGGGTTACGATATCACGAATTTCTCCGATGTTGAGGAAATAATCGAAGCGACCCGCGGTAACGATCTATCCCTCTCTTGGCTTTATAAAAACTTGAGAGAATTAATCTTCAACTATCGATAAAATTGAGATCGCACGTTAATTCTTCCGGAGTTTGTCGAAAGTTCGATGCAAACAAGAGCGAATTACACGACTGTCGCCACATCGAGCTCTTCGATTCCGAGCGACGATACATTCCTCCCTCTCCTCGCGCCTTTGATATTTTAATTACCACTCGCTGTTATTCTCCGCCGACTAGCATTTATCCTCGACAATAGAGTCGCGTGTTGAGTAAAAACAGCCCCGTGAAAACTGTTACTTCAATTATTCGTATCTAGTTTAATTTCCTTGAGCAAGATCTCGCGCTGAAAGCGTCTCGTATTCACGTAACGTTCATGCACGCACGCGTACACACACATACACACGTATTCACGCTCTCGCACACAACGTACACACACGTACGTGCGCTCCTCCGCGCACGTTTCCACACGAAGCCTTTTCTCTGATCTCGCTTGCCTCGTGTGCTTGCAGAAACAAACGGCCTGAGGATGCTGGAGCTGGTGGTGCCGGAGCACGTGGTGCGCGGGCAAAATATACGTCTCGAGTGCAACTTTAATCTGGACGGCGAGACGCTGTATTCGGTCAAGTGGTACAAGGACGGCAACGAGTTCTACCGATACGTACCCCAGGACAAGCCACCTGTTCTGGTGTTCCCCTTGCCGGGTGTCACCGCGAACGTAAGGACTATCTCTCTTTCTCTGCTTCTATTTCTCTAGATCTCTCTCTCTCTCTCTCTCCCTCTCTTCCTTATTCTTTTCTTCCTTCCCTACCGTCTACCTATCCACTCTACCCTCATTTCTCTTCTTTAGCTTCGGTAATGAAATCGAGGTGTCCAGCGCCGGAATAATTTAACTAAGGCGAGCGGTCCGCGTTGAAAGATGAAGTCGCTCTCGCTTACCGCGCTCTCGTTTCCTCCTTTCGCTTCACCTCGACGAGGCTCCTCCACGACGCTCGCGGACGACGAAGTTGGGGAGGCGCGAGAACGTGTTCTCACGAATCCGTAATTCGCGAGATCCATTCCCAACGCGACGACTCTCCGCCGTGCGGGGGTCGACCGTCCTCTCCCTCGTACTTACCCTCGTCATTCTCGAGAATCGCGCCCGATAGACCCCGAACGCCGACCGTCTGTCGGGCGATTCTCGCGTCGCCTGGAAACCGTAAACGGTGCGCGCGCGCGAATTCCTGGCGATTGAAGTTCCGGGGAAAGAAAGCCCCGGCGCGCCGATGGAGTAACACGGTATTTTGATTCCGTGCGGCGCTCGAGGGGCCGCGCCATTGGCGGCGCCCCGGTGGAAACGTTCCCATGGGAATGGCACCATGGTTGATCCACTTTCAATCACAGCCGCCGTGTACGAACTTGCTTCTTAGACGCGCGTCAATCAGAGGGTGAACGAGGAAGAGAGGGCGAGGGAAAAGGGGAGAAAGAGAGCAAGCTGAAATCCAAACTCTATAATGGGACGAGGGAGACGGGGACCGAAAGGGAGAGCCCGTTCATATCTGTGTCGTTTAAAAATAAATCGCGCAACGCGCGCGCACGGATGTTTTTTTTTTTCCAATCGGAAAACAAATAGGAAGATAAAAGATAAACCAGCCCGGAAATACGAGACCGAGTTTCCCGAGCATCGACGGCCGAAATTTTCGCACGTACGCACACGTCGCGCCATACGTCGCGCGATGGAGGGAGAGATAGTAACAATAACAGACACAACTTCGACGACAGAGCGAGGGTAATAAAGATTGTAAGCGGCGCACTCTCGGGAAACAACAAATATCGCGTCGAACGATAACCGCACGCGGAACATTCTCCTTAATGTGTGCGCATCGTCCATGAGGGTGATTTATTTCGCCGCCTAAATGAACAGGTACCGGTGGTGTATAAAGAGTTTCGCCCGAGAGAGAGAGAGAGAGAGAGAGAGAGGAGAAAGTTCATTTTTGGCACTTACGGCGTTGTTCACATCGGAACCGGGAGGAGAGTGAATCGGGCGCGTTTTACTCGCGCAAGCGAGGCGGATAAACAAACGAGGCGGGCTGATCTTCGTCATAATGAGCCTTAATATTAACATTAATCACCGGGCGCTCGCGCGAGATTGGCTCGGGCGCCCTCGGAAATTATCGGGTTGCTGCCGTGGCCGTTATCGTTGTTTATAATTACATCGATTAGTATAATGAATCGTGAAATGCGCTCGTCGCCGGGCAGCGACGCTCCGGCTGCCTGTCGCGCGGATGAAAATTGCGAGGATGCCGGCGACGATGACCCGGACGTTCTTCGCGAAACTAATTTAACACGAGGCTCTCTCTCTCTCTCTCCCCCCCCCCCTCTTTCTCTCTCTTCGTTAAGTGCGTCGCGGCACGTCTGAAATTGCCTCTCGTCGCTGCTGTCGCCGTTGTCATCGTCGTCGTCGTTGTCGTCGCCGCCACAAAAGATAACGCATTACAAATTGATCCTTGGGGACCCGCGTCCCCCTCTTACCACCTCTCGTCCTCTTCCTCGTCCTCACCGTCCTACCCCTTTCCTCTACCTGACTGAGTCGCGCGTACTCTCTTCTGGGTTAATGATATTTCCAATAATTTCAATTCCTCTGCTCCGACTATATCACCCGCTCGGTTTTCCGCGCCATTGAATGATACGAAAAAATTCGGTCCTCCGGCGAAAACTCGCCCGAGCGAGCCTTCCAGAGCCAGTACAGGGTGATTCACTGGACCGCGGGGAAAATTTTCGCGGAAGTTATACGGAAGTTCATTTTGCCCGAAAGACGAATACGCGCGCGAATATATTATCCTCGATTTTATTCACTCGTCGAGATTTAGAAGGGGGAGAAGAGAGGGGTTAAAAATTCCGAAAATTCAATCGATTCGCCGCTGTGGGGAAATGTTGCACGCGTGAAATTTATTACGTTCCTTGTCGAGTTTTACAAGCCGCGCTTTTCCTCGCTCAAGTACAAAATTAAAACATTGGAATAAAATCGGTCGTTCTTCAAACTTGTGTCCTATAAAAAAAATGATATCGCAAAGTTAGGCAAATACTAATGATATATTAATTACAACTCCGTAATACACGGAAAAAAGGAATTAGCTGTCCATATAATATAACTGAAATGTAATTACCAGACCTAGTTTTTAACCGTGGGAGCCAAAAGCTAAGAACAGGAATATGAAGAATTAGCTAAATTAACTAAATTTCAGTTGTATTATATGGACAGCTCACTTTTACCTGTGGGAACTATTTCTCTTTTATCTTGTGGAAAGATGAAAAAGCGTAGCGTCATCAAGTGCATACGATCGAAGTATATACGACCGAAATATATACGATCGAAATATCTGTATGCAAATTCCGGTCCAAAATTAAAATAACTTAGTTTCGTGTCATTTCCCGTTGTTTTATCATCTCGTCGGACAGATCACCTAACGTTTCGTTTTTTTATCAGTTGGCGAGACGAATTCTAAGTATACTAAATTGTTCTTTGTATCTTTCGTCTTTTTCAGATTCACAATTCCACCGAACGGTCGGTCGTCCTTCAATCCGTGAACCTCATGAGCACGGGCCGCTACAGATGCGAAGTTTCGGCGGAGGCGCCGTCCTTTCAGACCGTTTCCGACCACTCGGATATGCTGGTAGTCGGTGAGAGCAGCAGATTCGTATTAATTAAGAGTTTTATCTTTCAAAGGAATCGCGCAATAACGGCAATCCAGCTCCGCAAACTTGGCGAAAGAGCTTAGGGGAAGGGGGAATGAAGGATATTGTTACGTCGCTGATTTATTCCCAAGGTGCTATTCTTCTTCGCCGATTCTCATTATCCGAGCAAATGTTGTTGTTATCACGACCACCGAAAGGAGAAAGCCGCGCTGACTAATCGTAATTTTATTCACTTCTGAATTAAAATCGGACCTTAAAAATGATTTATTTATATCCGTGCAAGAGAAGCTCCTGGCGGAGAAAAGAGAAAGAGAGAATGAGAGAGAAAAAAAATAGAGATATGACTCGGGATAATTTAATTCCGTGACGCGATATATATATATATATATATATATATATATATATATACATCTATTCGACGAAAGGGTTGCAATTTCAAGAAAAGAGATTCCACGGCGAGGATTAGGAATTTTAACGACCCCGACGATTTTATAAGCCACTTAAAGCGGGAATTGAAACAAATTGCAGTTCCGATAGCTCCGAAAGAGTTAATTACATCGCGTTAGTTTAATCCACCTGCGAGAGGACATTATCTGCACCTCAAATATCGGGTCCGTGACTGGTGACGGATCGCTGACGATTCGTCCTCGACACATTAATATCACGTCTATAATTTACTTTCGTCGATTTAAGCGTTTTCCGTTAATCCCCGTCTTATTATCCGCATGTACGAGTATATGCGCCCCAGAAACGTCGCGTTGCTATTTTCACCCCTACGTCGACTCGTCGACATCAAATTTGAAGACTACGTTGATTCAGCCGGAATTCGATCCGGCGATTATTTATGAAAATTGCCGCGAGTTTCGGCATTCTTATTATCCCATCAAAAATTCATTCCCCGGAATCCTCGCGCGGATTTACGAGCGTCTGCGGCGCGAAAATCATCGACGTTGCTATCTCAAGACAACCGTCACTCGTCTCTCGTGACGGTCGGCTCCCTTCAATGGACGCGCTGCAAAATGTCGGAAGACAGCCAGGCAAGGGGAAAGAAGACGGTGGTGGTTCCTGATAATTCCGGAATCTGAGATCTGTCGATTCGATCTTTTCCCCACCCCTCTGCCCCCTCTTTTCGCTCGTCTTCCGGATATCTCCGAGACGCGTATCTCCGGGACTGCTGGCGTTCCTTTTATCGCGCGACGAGCAAGAGAGAAAGAGAGAGAGAGAGAGAGAAAAAAAAGAGAGAGAAAGAAAGAGAGAGAGATCCCGACCGCTCGACGTCGCCAGGCAAACGGCCCTGGCGACCACGCGCGCATCTATAATCTATGTATGGACATATCCCCGTCCGTCAATATAGTTAAGTGTGTTAGATCGAGTGCGATGATTACAGCGAAGTGTTACTCCATTAAAATTTCCGCGCCGGTAAGCGTAAACAAGTTAAACGGCGCCGCAACGAAATTACGGGTCACGGCGGCGACGGGGATGGGAGGGGTATTGCGTTTGCGTTAAAATATTCGCGCGGGCGCGCGGAGTTAAAAGCCCGTTCGCGAACTCGAATTAATCGAAGGAACGTGTCCCTCCCGTCGCGCGCGTCCGTAGTGCGGACGCACCGGCGGGAGGGTGGACGAACGGTCGTTATTTATGAGCGTTTCGATGTATTTCCAGCCCTGCCGGAGGAGGGGCCCATTATCACGACGCGACCCGAGAAACATCGTAATCAAGTCGGCGACGTCGTGCGATACAATTGCACTTCGGCGAAGTCGAAGCCACCTGCCATACTCAGCTGGTTCATCAACGGCGAACAAGTGAGTGCTCCAGACACGCAGCGTCTATCTCTCTCTCTCTCTCTCTCTCTAGTTCTCTCCGTCTATCTCGCTCTCCCATTCTCCCTCTGCGTGAAACCGTAACCGTCTCAGGCAGTCGGAAGCGTAAAACTTCGCGGCGATGTCCATGATAAGCCGCGATCTCGGAAAATCCGACTAGACTGGTCTGAGGATTCGCGCTCGCTTGCGCGAAATGTCGCTCGAAAGCGACGAGAGAGTAACGAGAGAGGGGGAAAGAGAAAGAGAGGGAGAAAGAGAGAGAGAGAGAAAGAGGAAGGGAGAGTAAGTAAGAAGTAGCCTTGTCGGCGAATTCTCCGACTAATCGCATTATGTAACTGTAAGTAGTATCGCATTACGTTAGTAACAAGTATATTATCGTGTTTTCTCTTAATTTTCTCCGATCGAAAATTCAAAGTTTCACATCGATTGTCTCAGATCGAAGGAGTATCGAGGATGATGATAATAATAATAATAATATCATGTTTCGTCCAAGAATTCAATCATCCTCGCCTCGACGTAATCCGAGATTGAAAATTCTCCGTTTTGTTTTTATCTTTCACAACTTGCAACGTGATGGATATTACAGATCGGTAAATCTGATTGTTATTGTTGCCACGCTAAAATTTCATTAAATCTGAGAAAAAAATATTCGATATTTGTAATTATAACCATCATAGTAAAAAAATTATAATTAGGGGAACCATTTTCCTAATAAATATTATTACACAGAGAAAAAGGTTTCTTTGAATTCAATATGCCTGTTTGTTTGACGTGGGTTTGTTTAATATTAACAACATAATTTAATGTCAAATATCATTTTGTTTTAATGAAAATATTGCTGTTTCATCAGAATAAACAATGTTGTTTGATAGAAGAAACAATATTATTTAGAGGAAATAATATTTCGTGTTTTCAATGAAAAAATTAATTATATATTAAATAAAAGTGTTCCATTGAAACAAAGAAGTTCTTTAATATTTCTTTTAATAGTTCTTTTCTAACATGGTTACTTCTTTCAAATAATCTATTATTTGTGATAATCATTGTAACGTTTGGACGAAAATACAAAAGAAATACATTATTTGACGTGATTTGACAATCGTATTTGTTCGATCAAACATTTGTTTGTGTGCTGTTCCAAAAGGTAAATTTACTTCAATTACAGAAATTTTATTAAATCCAAGGAAATCTTTTTCTCTGTATATAGTATCGGGATAATAACTTTACATGCATATTCCTATTACTATTTTTATGGTTAACGCTACATAAAGAGTATAGTTGAGGCCAAAAATAACTGTAATTTTTTTCGGTGAAGGCGAGAAGTCTAGATCTTTACGTTGAGAAAAAGTGGTTAATGACATCAGAAGTAGAATTATTCTCGGTGCCGAAATAATTTCTCGTTGTTCTACAAAAAAGTTGTAGCTACCGATGCCGATTAAGTTATTATCTACAAGAATGATTCTCCTGACTATTATTCTTTCGCCAAGCGATTATAGTCAGGAATACCGGGAACGTTTTTCTCGGTGCAAGGCCGTCGACTCGATTTCCGATCGATCGCGGAATATGTGTCTCTGAAATAACGTCGGATAGTCCCCCGAGACGGCGACGAAGTTGAACCTTCGTGTAGCTTAATAAGGACGCCTTCCTTGTAATACATCATGTTTTACCGGCGCCGTGACACACGAGTTACGAGGTTTCCTACGCCCGTAAGAGCGCAGTTTGGTATTACCGGTACGACGCGGTGGGATGGGTCGTAACAGTTCTCGAGGGCTGTCAAAAGTTTTCCATCGCGGCAGTAAGCCGCGGCGATTTCGCTTCCTCGCGGAAAATAACGCGCGAACATTCCGCGTAACGTCACCGAGCTGAGCCGGGGTCCCGTCGACCGTTAACGTGCTGTTGACTCGCGATTACGCGCTAACAAAGCGCAAGAATTAATTTTGCAAAATGCACTCGCGCGAGCGCGCGGCGGCGCTCATTTCTTTTTTTTTTATTTTCCTACCTTTCTGTGTTTGTTTTCGCCATTTTTCACTCGCGAACAAATAATTGGTTCTCGGGTAATTAATCTTCAGGCATTGCGCGGTCACGCTCCCCGCCGAAATTGTCTGATTAGTGTTTTAGCGCGCGCGCTCGCATTAGTTCGTAGGCTTGTTGAATTACGCATTAATCGATCACCGGCGGATATCACCTCGGATAGTCTTACGATTAAGGGATAACGTACGCTCTCATTCGGAACCGAGCAACCACGTAAATTCGCGATCATCCTGACCTTTTCGTTCGGTCGATCGAAAGGAGGGATCGAGGGAGAAACTGGTGGGACTCGCCGCTCCGTGAAGCGAGGGAAACATTCGTCGCGTCCTGCGACGAGTGTAATATCGAACGGCTCGAACTGCAATTATCGCGATCGGTACACACGGTGCGCGTTAAGGATGCTCCTTAATTCTGATTGCGGACATTGTAACAAGACGTAATAAGGCAGATAGCAATCTGCCGCTGTACGCTATTAAAAGTTTATGTAGTGCTCTCGCGGGAGAAGCGCGCGCGGGTTAAGAGTCAATTTTCCAAGAACGAGTGGATTAGACAGATAATGATTTAATTCGACGACGTTATTACATTCTATATTAAAAAGGATAAAAGAGAGAAAGGGGATAATATATATCGGGGAGACGACCCCGGGGTAACACACTTGACGATCAATTAACTATGGCGTCGCGTGGAAGGACAGCGTCCGTCCTTCTTTTGATCCTTTTTCTTTTTTTTTATTATTTTTGAGGTCGTCGGACTCCGCTGAGCAAAGTGTCATCTTCCTCCACTTCCGGTGGAACATCCTGCATCGTGTTCAAAATTAATGAGCGTCCGTCGCGACGCCGACACTTTCTCAGAGAATTAAATATAACCGGAGCGGGCGATGATAGAAAGGGGATGAGGGAGAGGGGGCGTGAGAGAAAACGCGGACTCCTTGGCCGCGAAGGATTAAACATTGACTCGATGGACGACTTGCAAATATTTCCAGCGGCCACGTCGCCGTCGTCGTTCCAGTAGTCGTAGTTGTCGTTCGTGAAAGTATACACTACCGCTTCGCTTCGATTAGGTCGACATGCAGTTCTTGAAGGGGCCCCACGTCACCGACGCGGACCGGGAGGGTCTGAAGACTACCACGCTCGGTCTGGAGTTCCGTCTGCGCTCGAAGCACTTCAAGAGGGGAGACTTGAAGATCAAATGCCTGGCGATGATAGCGACCGTATATTGGAAATCGAATGAGCTCAGCATAGAGGGTGAGAGGCCCCTGAAGATGCCGGTAATGGAGAGCAGGGAGACAAGGGCGCAAGGGCACACGCACGCCGAGCATATCCTAGGTAAAAAGGAAGAGGGAGAAAAGGAAAAAAAAGAGAGAGAGAGAAGAAGAAGGGAAGGAGAGAACCTCGGCCCTTGGCCGCGGGTAGATGACGCGGCCACGGCAAGGGCGGAACGCAACTCCGCCGCGTGTAACGATAATTTCCCCCGCATCGTCATTTAATTCGGCTGTCTTTGCTAAATTTAACGAGAATTATAGACTGGTTCTAAAATCAAATAAATAAATTAAAAAAAAAATAGTTTCCTATAAATTAGAGAAATATGTTATTTAAATGGTATATAAATATGGTGGTTTATTTAAATCGAACATTTGTAATGTTTCGCTTATTTTTGATGATACGAAAAAATGTCTAAGGGAAAAGTTGCACCATTTAATTATGGCGACGAGAAAAAGTTATTTTCGAGGTTATTTTTTTTTTGTTTTTTTTTTTTTAATAAAATTATATATTTTTGTTTGAGTGTTTTCGTAGCCAAATAGTTTGAAGAAAAGAGAAATGTGAAACATTTAAGCTTTACAACACAATTTATTTAAAGAGATATTTAAAATGGTGTCTCTCGACTTCAATGCATTTTTGAATACGATACATAAATGATACTCTTATCTTTTCTATCATTTTCTGAATTTATACTCGCACATGCATCCAAAATGTGTCCTCTCATATTTTTCTATGTAACTGATATAATATTTTTCAACATTCTCCACAAAAAAAATATCTGAAAGTCTAAAAGGGTTTGTCTAAAAGGGTTTAAATCAGGAGAATGTACAGACCAATATATGTGTCCTTCTCTTCCTGTCCTATTTAAACATGCGTAATTTTCCATGTTAAAAATCATTTGAAAATCATATTGTCATAGGTCACTCAACTTATCTCGTGACCATAAAATCGCAAAAAAAAGAACATGTAGTTCTAGTAGAAACTTAAAAAAAAATTATCTTAACTTTAAAATCTTCAAAAAACGACTTTGCAAAAGAATTATCTGTAATTGCCTCTTGAAGTGTAACGTTTTCCTCAGAATTTTTTTTGTATTATCAAAAACAAATGAAATATTTAAGATGCTCAATTTAAATAGATGAATTTGTATATAATATCATATCTTTTTTCAGTATTTTTTTAAGATATATTCATCATACAACACATTTGTCCAAGCAACCTATGACATTTGAATTCTTCTCAACACGTAATATTCGTCGAAATATCTCCTTCGACGTTTAATCTCTCTCTCTCTCTCTCTCTCTCTCTCTTTCTCTCTCGATATTTAATGATAATACGAAAATAAATCGGGGTTAAATCGTGCGCGACGAAGATCGGTAAACGTGAGATTAAGCGATCGTTTAACCGGGTCGCATTCTATTTACTACACTCACCGCTGCTCGAGAGATCGAAGCAAGTGCTCCTTAAATTGTTTCGAAGCACCGGCCCGTCAAGATGTTGACCATGCTAAGTGACATCTTATTTACATTGATATCAGAAGGATCAGGACGAGGACCTGTCTAGAAGCACCATTACCCGTCTCGCGACCACTAGAGGGGGATAAGAATCGCTTTCCGAGAGAGGGAAAAAAGTGACTTTCCTTTCTTTTTTCTTCGGCACACCGGCTCACGTCGTTAATATTGATTAGAAGTCTGTAAAAAGGTATGGGAGGCTTTGTGGCTGCATGAGAAGGGTTCAGCCGCCGAAATAATGGGTTCCCGGCCCTTTCAATGTTAACTCTTGCAACTCGTGACGCGCGGATAGTTCAGCAACTCAACATCATTTTGCCGATACGCTGTTCGGGCTGTTCTGCCATAGCGCCGCGAAGGCCGAAGTACAAACACGTAACTCGTTTCGCAACAAAGCACAAGTTTTTAGAAGCGCGGCTAAGGAAGCGGCAAGGAATTTGAAGCTTTTTGCCGGGCGCCGGACGCGCCGGGCGCGATCGAAAGATTAAGAATCCAATTTCGCGCAACGAATTCCTGTCAATCCCTTTTAATTCGGCCATTTCGTTATCTTCTTCTCCGCCTCCTCCTTCCTTCCCCCCTCCCCCCCTTATTTCCTCTTTTCGCGTCGCGCTTATAAGCGCAAAATCATTTCGGCCAAACTCGCTTAACTAAGCTTCAATTTGAGCGCGAAGTTTAAACTCCAAATTCTCCCTGAATATTTATGAAAGGTCTCTCTCTCTTTTCTTCTGATTTTTTTTTCTTTCTTATTTTTACGATAGGCACGCGCCCTGTACCACCTACATCCTCGTTTCTCTTCCCTTTTCTTTTTCAGCGAACGGAAGGAGCACAACGTTAGGACCGTGTGCCGTGCTGATCGTCGCTGGATTACTGATGTCGCGGTAAGGACCGAGGGTACACCTCCGCCCTCCGCCCTCTGTGCTCATCCTCTAAGGCCTGGAAGCCACCCTCGTGTGACATTATTACGTAATAAATTACCCACGTTGTTTATATTTTTTATAATTGCAATTAGTGAAGTTAGAGACCACGTAATCGTAGGCAGACGACACATTATCGGTACGTTATCACGTAGTAAACCTTGATCGAACGCGCGGAGGCGCCTCTGGAAGAAGCCGCTGAGGGATGCACCTGTCTTTCCTTTTCACCCTATCCGTCGGAAAATCGCGCGTTGATTCTCTCGCGTTACGCAAATTGCACAACCGCGTTCGCGAGCACGAAAGAAAAGCCACGACAGGGCGTTCTCGCTTTCGTCACGATCTGTCGTTTATCGCGAAAATCGAAGCCGCGACTGTTCTCTCTCTCTTTTCTTCTCCTTCCTTCTCTCTCCCTCTCTCTCTCTCTCTCTCTCTCTCTTTTTCTCACTCTCTTTTATTTTTTTCATTTTTAACATCGCCCATCGGCGACTCACGCGTAAGTGCATAATTCGATCTCTTCGGACACACGTTCACGCGGCATACACAACACGATAACATACCACACGCATAATATACACATACACACGCGGAAACCCACATACGCACTTCGTCTGTATATTCGCTTTGTGGCTAGCGCGTATCCGCCGTGCGAGCGCGAAGAACGTGGCGATTCCCCGAGTTTTTATCGAATTTTTATTAAACCGCGCGTGTTATGTGTCCGAATCAACGGCCGGAGGAAGCGACGAAGCGTGCGAGTGCGCTTTATTCGGTGTCAATTCGCGATATAAAAATATCTCCGGCCGTTATGAGACCCTCCCCCTCCTCGGAGCGTTAACACGATCGATTAGCGCACACCGCGCTCGAAAACTGCCCCAAGATACTGCCCCTCTTCGAGATACTGCCCCGCAAAATATTCCAAGCCTCGTTGCTCGACGGGATTAACAATTATCGGCGTGCCTCCGTTCGACACTTCGTACGGCGGATATTTAGTTGAGAAGACCGAGGGCGACGCGCGCGACGGCGATACGTGCTCGCACCGGTCGATGAAATAAGCGCGGATCGGGAGCCCGCGTGTCGGGCAAGGACGAGGAAGGGAGAGAAATGGAGCGACGCGAGACACCAATAATGACGACAACAACAGCAGCAGCAGCACAGCGAGAGAAATCACGTCGTTCGCCGTAGCCCTTAACGATCTAGTCGCTATTAATCGTGCGTAACGAGATAATGTCCTAGGAATAATTGTACGACATGTGTGACTGTAGCGTGCGTTTACCAAAGATTTTTGAACTTTTCACGCTAAGCATTCCTAATTGTTAATCACGGTGGCATCACGGTGTGTAGAGAGACATTCGTCGGTAAAAAGAAAAAAAAACACAGGAAAAAGAAAAAAAGTACTGCCACACTCTTTATCTATGATAGCTGTAAGGGCACTCCTCTGTACATATGTATATATTATACATACATACATATACATATATATATATATATATATATTTATATATATATATATATATACACATATATATATATATATATATATACATATATACATATATATATATATATATATAAACTCACACATTGAAAAATCGGACGATATACATATTTGTCTATGTTTTAAGACGTCTCGAGACGCGACGTAACGCAACATCGGCGCGCGAAAAAAAGCGTAGCGGGCAACGTTGCGAATCTGCGGGATCTGCGGAACTATTTTCTTTAGCGAATCGCGTAAAAGTCTCTCTCGAAATGTGTTGTACCGTCGGTCAAATAAAACCTTACTGAAAAACACTCTGTGAGTGATGACGTCGTGTACTTCAATAATCCCGAGACGGAAACGAAGGACTCCCCCCGCTTGTTCGATACCCCCCTTTCATTCCGGACGTTTCCTCGCGTGATGAGAAATTTCTCACAGAAATTGGAAAGTGACATTTATTAGAAACTCTCAAAAGATCTGTAACAAACATTTCTAACAAATTCCACGAAAATCCCCGGCGATATACGATCGTGCTCTCTAAATTCCTCGGAGTGAGAGAACTCATTCAAAGTGAGTGAAAATTCATTCGGAACGATAATGAAAATACTTGCACTCGAGCTCAGAGCGGATTCTGATTTCATATGAGCGAACGTTTCAATCGATTAGAACGAATCTGATACTTCACATCGGGACCTGTTATCTTAATGAATCTGTTCCTGTGACAGTGGAATGCATCGGATTCGCTCTTCAATCTCGAGTGAAAACGCTCTCTCGACGATTCAAGACGGCGAATTCCCCCTGAATGAGCGAAAGATTGCTCTCGAATTGGAGTAACTCGTCTGTCGGTCTCTACTTTGCGCGCGTGAAATTTCACTCCGAGAAATATAAGAGAGAACGCACAACGTGGAAGGGGCTCGACACAAGGCAAATATCACAGGGCGGTCGCGTTGGACAGGCAACGCTCCGTGAAGAAGTGGTGTTTCTTCACGTGAACGTCGGACAAAGTTTTGGACGGGGACCTGGCGAAGAATTGGAGGATCTTCCGCTCGTTCGGCGACTCCGTCTCCTCGACCTTCTCCCAATCGACGGCGAACGCCTTCGCCTGCAGGATCTGCTCGGCGGTGGACCAGCTGAAGCGGACCAGTCGCGGGAAGCCGAACACCGCGTCCACGTTTGCCGACAGCCAGCTCTTCGTGACTGGGTCGGTAGGGTAGCCGCTGCCGTACTCCTTGCCGACGTCGTCCTCGCGAAAACGCCACGCGCGGATCGCGTGATCCCGCGACACCTTGGCGCATATACTGGCCGCGCTGACAATCGGATACGTCGAGTCGGCCTTCTTGGCGACGACGATCTTCACGTCGGGGAACACGGCTTGCAGTCGCGCTTGATAGCTCTCCGGCTTGCCGACGGTATCCACGTAGATCTCGGCGACGTGCACGCCGGCCTCGATCGCCGCCTTGATCAGACCGGTGGCCGATATCATGGAGATCTCGTTGAGAGAGACCTTGGTGCGACGATACATACCGTTGGCGATGACGTTCGGCGAGATCGCCTCGATCGCCCAGCCCATGCAATCCTTACACTCGCATATGTCGTTGAATATCTCATCGCGCTTCTTCTCCGTCAGGCTCTTGGAGTCGGCGCAGCCGAGCTCGACGAGCAGCTGCTTGCGCGACAACGGCGCGTACGAGATGCCGTAAACCATCGGGCCCAACACCGGACCGCGACCCGCCTCGTCCACCCCCAGCTGACACGGCTCGTTTTTGCACACCTGCGGCACCTGCGATAAACCAGTTCTGCGACTATCCTCCTCGTTCCCGTCCGGCGGCCTGTTTCCGTTTCTCCTTCGACATGCAGTTACGTCCGTCGAAAGTGAATATTATCCCGAGAGCAAGTCCAACGCGATGCTGGATGCAACGAATGGAAAGCGGGGGTGAGTAAAATGCATAAAATCTGGATGAAGAGCTCCAACAGAGCAAAATGTATCAAGACGAAAAATAAATCCAGCATAACGGCGTTGGTACACAACGCGTGGAATGTAGAGCGAGTAAAATACGTGGAGTGAAGAGCTCCAACGAGTAAATAAAATACACAGTCTGGATGAAGGGCTCCAACGAGCAAAATGTATCAAGACGGGAAGTAAATCTAGTATAATGACGCTGGTATACAACGCGTGAAATGTAGAGCGAGTAAAATACGTGGAACCGTACGACGAGTTACAACGGACATAATGTGCGAAGAAACGGGTTCGAAAGGGAGATATCGACCCGTTAAAAGCGTGGCGATATAGCCGAGTAAAATGTAAAACGTGTAAGTATAGAATAAGTGACGAGTAAAACATGCGAGAATAACGCAAGTAAAAGTAAACGGTATTAGAGGAAAGGATATCATCAGTTTCTAAAATGATGTGATTATCGTTCATCAGAATCACAAGAAGATGCAAAATGTAATCTTGATTTTCCCAGCGTATTTTGGCGCCGCCACATACGAGGAAAATTACATTCTCATGCAAAAAGTACTCCTCCACTTACCTCCGAGAAGTGAACTTTGTTGACGCTGTGGTCGATCCGCTCGAAAAGTGGGGTTAAGTCCTCCTTGCAGGTAATGCCGTTGACTGCCTCCTCGCACGAGTCCTCCTCCTTCTTCACCTGACCGACGTTCTCCGTCACATCTTCCTCTTTCTCATCCATTTTTCTGCAGCTTACATTCACGTGAATACTAACCAGAACAAACAAACCGACCTAACCTCAAACCGCACGCCGTTCTGTTCGGACGAGCCGCCAAATTCGAACGCGCGCGCAATACTGCCGAATCGATACACAGCGATATGTATCGACATCAAACGTGATTCACAATGGCGCGACTGGTATATCCAGGAGTTGATTGCGTATCGCAAAACGTAGTAAGAATTACAGAAGCGAGTGAATTTACCAGAATAATTTCATTGGTCAAGATTTGGTGAGTTTGCTCACTATTGTAATTTTCATTATGTTTTGAGATACATAATCGACTGGGTTTGTGTTAGCTGCATTGTGTTACACTTTTTATTTATCTGACATTATGCGAGCTCGCATTGAGCTATAAAGGCCTATGTACAATGAAAACCATTTTAACAGTTGTTAGAAATGAAAAGAGATAGTTGCGAAGAAGTACAGAAAGTGCAATAAGTTATGAGGCTGGTATTATATACGTCATATGACGAGTCTGTTGGATGTGCCGATTGGCTGTCGGGTAGAGAATTTCTAGGGTGTCTAGACAAATGTTAGAGACCCTAGAAATTCTCTATTCAGCAGCCAATCGACACATCCGACAAATTCATTGTGGACATCAGCCATTATCATAGAAAGAAATACAAGAGGTGCTAAAGGAAAAAAACTAGGCTACGTCCAAAAGTTAGTGGGACACAAAGGAAAAAAGAACTAGTACAGCCAGTGCAGCACGGAAAACAAATCCTATATAGTCAGATGTGTTGTGTGTGTGTGTGTGTATGAATTAAAATAAAGATAATGCAAATATATGCCTCAGTGCATAATCATTAGTCTTCTTTATAGCTGCATTTCTGAACTAGTGCAGTAAGTTGAAGTGAGACAATTATATATTTTCTCATTTAGACTTATCGCACCAGTTCAGCAGTTATAAAGAACAAACCACATATACCCGCTTTAACCATCAATAATTCACAGCGATTTTAATTCTATTAATAATAATATCGCGTAGTGTGTTATATTTTTAAGCCACACGCTTTTAAAGCAAGCAGCAATAGCAAAGTGAAAGCAAAGTAAAGATGCACGCGATAACTGAATTGCTTCTGAAACGTACGATATCGCTGCCGTCGAAGGTTTGTAGCTGCGTGAGAAGCTACGCATCGGAAAATAATGACTTCGTGAAAGTAGTCGAGGTTGGACCGCGCGACGGTTTGCAAAATGAAAAACAAATATTGCCTACCGAAGTGAAAATTGATTTCATTAACAGACTGTCAATCACCGGACTGAGGAGTATCGAGGTAACGAGTTTTGTATCGCCGAAATGGATTCCTCAGATGGCGGATAACGTACAAGTTTACCAGAAAATCGAGAAAAAGAGCGGCGTGTCTTACCCGGTATTGGTGCCAAACTTGAAAGGTCTGGAGAACGCTGTGCGTACTGGTGTGAAAGAGATTGCCGTGTTCACTGCTGCATCGGAGACCTTTTCCAAAACAAACACCAACTGCACCATCAAAGAGAGCATGGAGAATATAACGAGTATCATAGAGGAAGCTAAGAAGCAAAATATCAAGGTCAGGGGTTACGTGTCCTGCATTGTTGGTTGTCCCTACGAAGGCGATACCAAGCCAAAGATCACAGCGTATTTAGCTTCAACACTGTTGGATCTTGGATGTTATGAAGTCTCCTTGGGCGATACTATAGGCACAGGGACACCCAGTAAAATTGAACGTGTTTTAAATGAGTTACTCTGTATATCACCACATGATATGAGTCATTATGCATTACATTGTCACGACACATATGGACAGGCTCTGGTAAACATATATGCAGGTCTTAAAAAGGGCATAAGGGTCTTTGATTCTTCAGTCGCTGGGCTTGGCGGATGTCCATATGCCGCAGGTGCATCGGGAAATGTCGCCACAGAAGATCTGCTGTATCTTCTGAATGGACAAGGTTTAGAGACTGGTATAGATTTCGATAAAATAGTAGAGATTGGTGATTATATCAGCAAGTATCTTAGTAGAACAAATAACTCTAAAAGTGGAGCAGCTATACTTGCCAAACAGAATCGTCAAAAGTGCTAGTCATAATGTGCAAATCTGATATTTTAAAGAAGCAAACTCTCTCTCTCTCTCTCACACACTCATATGAAATTAATTTTACATTCCAAATAGCATCCGCAATATAAATTGATATAATTCCATAAAAAAATGTACAAGAAAGCAGATCAATTTTATAACTCATTTCGTAATTATAAATAAATATTTCTATTTCTATATATTCTACAGAAGATTTCTATATATTTCTATATGTTCTAATATCATTATCTTCCGAATGATTGCATATTTGCTTTTATACAAGCCTAAAATTTTTTTACTTTTTAGAGATTCAACAAGTACAAATAAAACATATACATAAAAACATACTTTTCACACAATATTTTTCGAATATTGAAATAGATTCTGAATAAGTAAATAAACAAGTAATTTTAAAAGATATATGTATATAGGATATATGTATATAGGTAAATCTAAAGTTTAAGATTAAATATCCCGCTTGTTATTAAAAGATTACCTGAAAATAACGGACTTCCGATGAATCCACTTCTCTTCCATGGATTGCGTCCCGAAATGTACAGACAGTACTGCTGTTGAAATTAGCGAACTTGAATTTTAGTGGACTTTGCTCTGATTGGTCAAATCAATTTCAATCCAATCTCAATCCTAATCCAAAGTCTGATCCGTAATCCGACGGATTTCATGGAAAGACCGCTCTCAGGTTAGGTTTCTCTCTATTCGAGGAGAGACGGCTATGGTATTTAAAATACTATTTTTCCTTTTACATAAAAATTTCATATTTTACATTATAAATGCTACAAAGCCATTTCATTAGAAATTACAATTCGACAAATCTCAATTTTGACTTACTTTGTCCTGATTGGTCAATTTATAATTTCTCTAGTGCATATTTTTCGCACTAGTGCAGACAGTTGACCTGTTCTTTTTCGCTGCACCGCTGAACTAGTGCAATAAGTAGAAGTGAGAAAACATATACTTGTCTCGCTTCAACTTATTGCATTAGTTCAGCAATGCAGCGAAAACGAACAGACCTAGTGTAGAATAAAAGGATTAACCTACTGGTCCTTTCATGTTTCAACACTGTGCAGAAGTGTTCGAGCACGTGTGAATTGATAACAGGCTGTTAGTTTGGCGTGTGAATGTGTAAGCTTCATAAAATAGAATATTTTTCTTTTGAATCTCGAATAACGAAGTTTTTGTGCGCTTATATAGATTTACACGTTTACAATGGAAGACATTCAATGCCCGTCGGTTTTGGTGTGTTCTACCATTTGGGTGAAGAGAGGCGTCGCTGCAGCCAATCCTCAGGAGGTTGGGATTTAAACTTTCTTATATTATTTTCGTTTGCATAAAATATATTAATATATTTTCCGCAATTTTTAGATCTTATTAAAACCCGCAGATTTCGAGAATATCATAGAGCAGGCGCAGGCGTACGTACCGAAGCAATGTAAAATTTCATATAAAAATTACTCAATATCTAAAAAATAATTTACGATCATTTCTTTGCAGTGATATAGAAACAGATGATTCAGATGAAGAGGTAGACTCGTCTAAGAAAGAGTCTGATACTTTAAGAGAATATTCCTTATCCAATGGTGATGAATACAACTTCAACAACTATGATAACGAATGTAGGAGAAATATTTAAAAAAACACATTATTTAAATCACCTATAGAGATGATATTTGCTTAAGTGATTATTTCTGTTTTGCAGCGGGCGATGTGCATTGTCATATTGGTAACATAGCTAGTTTTGACGTAGATGGTAGAGATCCTCTTGTAACAAATGATGATGATGATTCTGATAAAGAGGATGACATTATTAAAAGTGATGACAATTTGCTCTTGATTGCACTAGCTAATAAAGATGTAGCTACCTTAGAAGTACATGGTTTGTATCAAATTGTTAGAATGTAAAATTTTCTACAATTGTGTAATATAGTATAACTGATTTAATATAATTTATGATGTATTATAAAATTACAATACATTTTATAATTCCAGTATATAATGAAGCAGAAGGATCCTTTTATTGTCATCACGATATACCTATATCTTCTTATCCAGTATGTATGGAATGGCTTAGTTATGATCCTGAGGATCCGAAACCAGGTGAGCGACAACAATATAATAGTTTCAGGCAGATTAGTTTAGGGAAGATGAATTCATTTTAGGGATATGTGAAAATTATTTATGATTACCATGTGTGAATGTATTGTAGGCAATTTATGTGCAATCGGTAACATGTCTCCCATAATTGAAGTGTGGGATTTGGATATGCTGAACAGTGTGGAGCCTATCTTTAAACTTGGTCGTAAGCCAAAGAAAAAGAAAGGGCAGAAGCGTGTTGGACATAAAGATGGGGTCCTAAGTTTGGCATGGAACCAGAATTACACGTTAGTTTCCTATTTTGGGAGGAGCTTACAGAGTAATATATTCACTCTTATACCAAAATTATGACAGGGAAATTTCGTTACAGACATGTTCTTGCCAGCGGTTCAGTTGACAAGACAGTTTTATTGTGGGATTTAGAAAACTGCAAACCTGTGACTAAGCTCGACTCGTTCAGTGAAGAAGTAGCTTCATTGAAATGGCATCCACAGGAAACTCACAGGCTGTTAACGGGATGTCTAGACAAGTAAATTCGATTGTTATCATGTTTGCTTGGGATATTCACAACATAAATATCTATATCACACGTATATGTATCACTATATAACTTATTCTTTTTTAAGAACAGTGCGATTATTTGACTGCAAGGAAAAAACAATCGTAAGAAAGTGGGAAGTGCCGACAGCAGTAGAAAAAGTGCTGTGGAATCAGTATGACACAAATTACTGTATCGTACGTTCTGTGATAGATGTTTAATTAGTACACATTTTCAAGTCTGTAAATATATTTTTTCTAGCTGTTTCTTCTTCGCAGGCTAGTTTAACCAAGGGTTTCATAACGTACTTTGACGTAAGAGCAAACAAATCAGTTTGGGAAATCAAGGCCCACGATGAAGGAGATGTTTCATGTAAATATGTCGCTCTTATATATTCCTCGGAAAAGATATTTATCGCGTGCCGGTTTTTTTCGTCTAATCCCTCTTGTAAATCCTGCCCTTTCCAGGTCTTGCTCTTAGCGCCTCGTGTCCAGGATTGTTAGTATCTTCCTCGGACGACGGTTTGATGAAGGTGTGGGATATCATCGATCACGAACCTACGCTTGTGTGGCAGCAGGAAATCCCAAGCGTTGTAGTTTGCATCGCGGCAAATCCGGACAATGGATTCCTATTTGGTATCTGCAGGACGAAGGCACGGTCGGAGAAATCAGCCGAAGTGTTAGACTTCTCAATGATACCGGACGGTACGTACAGGCACTTTCAATACAGCTTAAGCGCCGATGTCGACTTTATACTTTATCTTGATTAATAGTGCGGAACAGATTCGCGGATCGCGTCGCGCTGCATTCCTCAGCGACAGGAATCAAACAGAGCGAAGCGACGAAAGTTGCCGAAAAAATGGAAGATATGGAAATTGATGAGTAAGAAAAATGTAGGTCTAGTATACGTAGTATTCAAAACATTCATAAGTTTCAGCTATAAATAAAATCTTTGACTCACTTTCTATGTTCTCTTCTGCAATAAACAATAGGTCAAACCACATTGACGTAATCGACCTGTCGATGTAAAGGTGCGCCTCTCGTGCTATATGTTCTTTTCTACATAAATAATAGTTCAAACCACGCTGTAAAAACGATGTAACGATATAATCGTACCGATGTGACGGCGCGTGTATATCGAGAGGGATATTAAAAACGAGCTTACGTTTGTCTCTGAAAACGTGTGATTTATTGTTTCCCTGTAGCAATATAATGTTAACCCCAAGATTACCCCTCCAGAGCCTTACATCTTGTACAACGTAATGCTTTCGTGTTGAAAATAACGTACAGTATGTATTGTTACGATATTTGGTATTTTCAATCGTCCACGTGAAATTTTCCTCAGAGCACAGATATTCGCGCACAATCTCGCGACGTAAACGTGCAGTAGCGTAAGTTTGTAAGAGTGATATAGTAATTTTACTTAGTTACTTCGAACGAGAACGATTAGTTACATAAAATACACTCGGGAACGTGTCCCGAACGTTTCTCGAGCGGCTCGTTCGGGCAAAATTCAATGTACAAATTTGAAAACACGCCGGCCACTCAGAATTCTCGTGTTCACCATTGAAGTGTAGGCTTGAAATTTTACGTTATGCCGAGGCAAGCGCTGATCATAGTATAAGACGGTAACGGTATAACTTATACGACTCCACAAAATTGTAAAAATATCTGCGTAGAGAAGTTCTTTTTTTATGCTCTCTCTCGGTAAAAGATGTACCCAATTATATTTCTCTATTGATTAGAAATCCGTTTGTAAAAGCTACGAATTTTCTTACGTGACGGCACAGACTCTTGGAATTCAGTATCAAGAGCAAGTCTGAGGGCGAGCGGTCGGGCGGGGGGAGACGAAGGGGGCAGTTGTGAGAATCCTTTTTACAATACGTTTCTCTTGGCGACATTATTTCACGAGTACACAATACCACCTACCGATTACCTGATTAATCCGATATCGATAAAAGTACTATTTACTTTCATTTCGTTAATGCGGAATCGTATTACAATGATCTCGATGATGTCGATAATCGTCGGGTGTTGTAATATTAACAATCGTCGTCTTATACACAACTCCTCCCCGTTTCTATTTTTATGCAGTCAGTAATGAACCTCTTGGAACTGTTCGTGGTCCTTACAATTGCAATTCAAAACAATCAATTCAATTATTAATTTAATTCGATAACAAGAACTACCTTTCCTTGTCTCTCTCTCTCTCTCTCTCTCTCTCTCTCTCTCTCTCTCTCTCTCTCTCAAGCAGTTACAAATACGATAAAAATAATAAATGTTCGAGGGCCTTCCCTGCGTGTATACACGCGCGTCTCTAAGCAAAATTTACACATTTTTATTCTACAATCGTAAAATTCACTTTATTCGCCGATGTGAGCGTGAAGTTTTATGAAACATCGCTTAGGTATTCGGTATTATATACGAGGTGTATGCATATATTACATATTCGAAAATCGATATTCGACTGTACAATTTTCAGAAACATCGCGAGCGTAATTGAACGTTTTTGGACACGTTGTTTGTGATCAGTCAGCAGGTTTAATCGTACGAAAGTGATGACTAATATGTAAAAGAGATTCGCGAAGTTATATTCCTTGCTAGAAAACAGTCGTTTGATGTTCGGAGGAAAAAATCACCTAGATAAACGGAATGAGGGTAAAAGTTGTACATACGTATTAATGCCAGTCACGCTGGTAATTATTGGAATTAAGCGAAATCAATGATACAATTCATGTAACATCGCATGTTGTCAGCCTTGTCAACTAATGCTGAATAATAATCGTCTTACAACATGCTTTCTTCTGGCAGTGGTCTCGTCAAGTTTAGTAAAAGTCGAGGACATCATCATGTCAACAATGACTCGTGAAGTTCCACTTGACGGATAATACCAATATATACAATTAAATCCGTCTCTTTTGCATCTAACTCTAACGCAAATGGATGGAGAAATTTGACTAATCCGAGTCGAACGTAGACGGAAGAGACAAATCGATCAAGATGGTCGATGAGAATGACGAATTAGAACGGGAACGCTCCGAACGTTTCGCTAATAATCTACGTCGTATCGCTGAAGACGCTTTAAATAAATTCGAACTAATCGCATCTTGTAAATAAATATTACGAGTGAAAACGTTCGTAAATTAAGCGCCTTTAAGTACAAATTTTTGTCGCGAATGTCGCGCGAAAAGACGCCGCAAATCGCGATTCATCGGTGATTTGCGCAACAAGTTAAAACACAATGAGATGTACAAATATATATATGTATATATATATATA